TGTGTGTGTGTGTGTGTGTGTGTGTGTGTGTGTGTGTGTGTGTGTGTGTGTGTGTGTGTGTGTGTGTGTGTGCACGTACATGAGCATTCATGAGGGTAATTTTGGTGATGTGGATTTATGTGGATGTGCGGCTTATGCAGCGCTAAATGATTTTAATTATCAGACAGCCTCAATTGAGCAATCACAGGCGGTGGTGTTGGTGGGATGTTACAATCCACACACACACACCACTCACGTATGGCATATTCGGTGTAGTCTTCTGTTTTGTTTTTGGAGCCCACCAAGCTGTTATGTGCTGAGAACCCTCATAAAAGTCACCCATGTGCTCCCAGTTTATCGTTGGCTTGGGTGAGTTATACTAATACCTAAGCATACGCTATAGCTTTATATCAGGTGTAAGACCTTGCAGGGTAAATAGCTTTAAGTATATTGGTTTTATAAATACGCTCTCTAGATTTATCAGTATAGATGTATATTATAGATTAGCAATAAGCAATTTTGAAGAATGATGTCTGGGTTGCGTGGAATGGATGTGTATCCTCCAGTCGCAGTATGTGTCTTGTAATGAGAAGGTGAACAATTGCCCTTTAATATTGACCTACTAACATTTGTATTTTCAGATTCAATGCTTTTGTTAATAAAGGGTGAATGTATCTGCGGCTGTTATTATTGTTTCTGAGAAGTGTTTTTTTGTTGTTAATTAATAAATACTTTCAAACCAAGTTCAAATATTAAGAAACAAAAAGGTAATTAAAATGTTTCCAGAATCCTTTTAATCTTGACAAAGGCTGCATTTACACAATCCTCGCCTCACCCTTTCACAATAATAGCCCTAACATTTAACAGAAAATGTAACGCATTTTGTCTCGTTTATTCGTGAGGATTTGAGCTAAATGCGTTCAGCAATATGCTAACATTATCACAGCAGCAATGTTAGCATGCTAATGTTCATAAGATGAAGTGTTTACCATGTTCTCCATCATGAGTTAGCCTGTTGGCCTGCAAAAAAAAGCTTTAAATGTTTCTACTTTTCAAGTCTACGGTCATAAAATTGAGTATAGAAATTTAGACTGAAATTTAGACTGAAATGTTCTCTCAGGGGTGCTTGAATCTAAAGTTTTCGGTAGCAAAAGGAAAGCCTGACACTAACGCCCTAGTTTGTAAAATGTATTGGAAACATAAGCAATTAGTCGCAACTCCGTAAAAATTGTTAAGCTTTTGAAGCAGTAATTGGCTATTGATGAAAAAAACCTTGAAAGCACTTTGGGGAAAACCTGCTTTTTTCAGGACATGAAACTAGGGCTGCGCGATATATCGTGTCGTGACGATAATCCTGTTATGCGCATGCGCGATATTGACTTCGCAGAACGTGCGATTTCTTTTTTAGGACGTGCGATATTAAGTAGGCAAATGAACTCAAACACGTCATGTTACAATTATTTTGCTGCTTGCTACAAAAGGAAAACTTGCGCGGCTCTCATGTCAGGGGTACTTGAGTGAGTGACATGCAGGCTCTGCATGCACAGCAAAACACCAATCACAACCATTCTTGATCAGATCACAGCAAGATAACCGAGCTAGCTCAGCTTGTTGCTCTGATAACTTAAGATCCAGAAGTCCGTGCTAAAATCCTTCATCCGGTTAAATATTGTTAAAGAAATACCAATTGTATAGCATTAAAGTTCAAGAAGGATGGTTTGCGGACAAAAAAAAATGGTATTTTCTTCAATTCCTGTATTTTTTCATATCGCAATATATATATCACAGTTTTTTCCAATATCGTGCAGCCCTACATGAAACCCACCAGGTCGAATGTCATGGAGTCCTTGTTGAGAGCCTCCACATCAGGCAGCTGGGCCTTCACCTGGGTCTTGATGTAGCACTTCTCTCCTCCTGAGAAGCGGATCCCTGTGATCCCCTGTAGAGACAAACAAAGAGCAGCAAGTTAGAGCCTAATGCATCTCTAAGTGTCTGGGACTAGAAATGTGAACATATCACAGCTGATTTTGATACCACTTTGAAGCGTTCTAGATTTCACAAAAATCACACCATGATTAAAGGTCAAAATTGTAATAATTAAAAGGCCAAAAGTGCTGCTTCACTAGTCTGATTGGCCTGATTGGGGTGCAATAATTAAAGGTCAGAAACCACCAGTCCGCGTTTAATGAAAAATGGAGGGACGATGCTTTTGACACTGATTGGCCTAAAGGGGGGATAATGTTTACTTGCTGCAATCTACCCACAAGGGTCTTCAAAATGTTCAAGAAATCTGATCCACCTCTTCTCTGATTCTCCTGAATTGCTCAGAGTGAAGATCAATGTGTTGATGATTCAGCTGTAATGCTTCCACCACCACATATTTTAGGATTATTTTGTGCCTGACTCACAATCTGGAAATCATGGACCTCCACAGCCTCATCCGCCCCGCTGCCGGTGCTGAATCTCTCCATGTTGTTGGCAGCGTCGATCTCCATTGTGCCCTCCTCCACTTTCCCATTGATGCTCATGCTGTAGTGGACATTGTAGACCTAAACACACAAGCACACACAGGGTTTCAGACTGGCATGTAAGGTATGAGAGTCCTGAGTCACCCCACCCCCAGCCCCCCTCTATTTCAACACTCCTACTCAACCTCCCCCTCTGACTTTTCCTCACACATACAGCCTCTCTTTTCTTGATTTTTCTTTTAGACTCGCACATTCATTTAAACTTGGTCAGAAGAATACAATCTGTGCAGCTCTGGGTTATTATTATGACCCTTCCAGAGCCGTTTCATCATGTCTTAATAGCATTTTCTAACTTCATACGGTAAGAAAAAACGCTTGCAACGGTACAATTTTTTACTTTCATCTCTTCCACCTCTTGCCCCCGGAGCATCAGCCGGACCAAAGAGCCCCCCCCCGCCCACCACCACCTCTCCACCCTGCCAGGATCCTCCACACATACACACACAACGCCTCCATTCACCAAGGAGGGATTCATTTACATTTTACTGTTTGCCTACACTGCAGAAAAAAATCCATATGGAGAACTGTTTTTCTTTTGAGTCTCCTTTTTAATTTCAAGTTAAAAATCACTGAGAACTTATTGACACAAAAGAAGCTTGTTTCAAGGATTTTTCCCTTTTAGTCAAGTGACATTTTTATAGGGTATTAATATGTTTTCCTCTATAGCTGTGGTAGTCATTTTAGATAACGCGTTTTGAAAGTCCACTGATAGGACAAAATATAATCTAGCAGATCATACTACTAAATCGTAAAGGATTGTACAGAAGTGGGCTAAATGTGGTAGCAAGCGAGGCATAACCCTATAGTTTCCTTTGTAATAATGATAGAAGATTAACATGGTTAATCATGATTTCTCAGACTCAGAGACATAACACTACAAAGTGCATTTTTATTAACCATGTCGCAAGTTTAAGTTTTCTCTTTGATCCATCTAGGAAACAAAGGTTGACAAAACCTAAATACATAATGTCAATGAACTCAAAACAACCACCCAGCTCTCCAAAAAAGGTAAAAGTACCAAATGACAAGCCCCATACCTACCTTCAAATAAATTGTGTACAGTCCCTAATAAAACCCTTCATTTGTCGTGAAGGTGAGCATTGATATAATAAATATGTCTTACGTGTTTTTCATTGTTGTTCCAGAAGTAGAACGCTCCGACTGCCCCCAGTAGCAGTAGGAGAGTCCCGGCGATGAGCACCGCGATCCCGGCCTTCAGCAGGCAGCCGGAGGCGGCGGGCTTCACGGCCACGGCAGAGTATGCCTACCGTTAAACAAACACACCGAGAAAATGACCACGTGTCGAACGCCAAAACAACCTCATACTCTGATATAACACAATCAATATTAATTTGTCTCGTCTGTCCAGCATATGGAAGATCAATGTCAGAACGACGTGGCCTCTCTATGATCCCTTTGTACCTAGGCATCTTTTTTATTACAGAACTCCATATCCCGGGATAATCCGGTCACATTGGTCCTGTATGAAAACTTACCGGGGGCATGAAGTTATGCAGATCCTCTGGCCCCGCCGAGGCGATCGGTACTTTCTCTGAGTTCCCGGCCATGACTGTAGCCAAACACCTCAGTGAACCCCAGTCCACTAACTTTTCTTCCCCCCCCCCCCCATTCTCTCTCCCTCCCTCTCTCTCAGGAGGAGGAGGATGGGCAGTCCGTGTTTTGCACTCCACTGTTGGAACTGCGCATCTAAGTTGTGAAACCGTGAAACATACAGTAAACTCCAGCTGGTCGCTCACAGTAGCCACTAATTAAAGCCAAAGTTGTTAGCTTTCTGCCATAAAAGCACTCATCGTGTTTTCCCTTTGAAGAGCTGCTCAGGCAACTTCCATGACTTTGATTCCTGCGAATATCCTCAGGAGTTTCATATCATTAAGCTTTATGGAAACCTCGATGTGTGGACTATAAGATCTATTCGGTAATTAAGAAAAAGAAGATGATGAAGGGTGAGGTTGTCTCCTCAAATCACCTTAGCAGCCCCCCTTTTCCTTTGTCAATGCCCTCACAGACGGCTGCAGGTCAAAGGTGACTTTGGTGGAATGTCGCATGTTTTCTCCAGTTTGGAGACAGTGTTTGCATGAAAGCAGCAGATTGTTGGACAGATTTAGATCTTGTTGAGTTTTTTTTTTTTTTTAATCAGAGTCCAGACCTGCGATTCTGTCGTGAGAAATGCCCTGAACCCATTAATGGTAATAGAGAGATGACGTAAAGGGCGCAGCGTGCGCGTTTGGCAGATGGACAAAAAAACATTCTGACAGGACAGCAGGAGGATTTGCTCACAGGGACTTGTTGTTCCGTGGCAAAAAAATCACCTGTGTTTGGTTTTGGATGTTTATCATCATCGTTGTTAGGCTGTTTAACTTCCTCTCGTGAATGTTATCGAAGACGAACAGTAAATGCGCATTTACGAACAGGCAACCTCATTATGACCTCTTCTATGCGCACATGTCAGGTAGTATTAATGATTTATGTAACAGGGAGTGAGTAAAATGAGAACGAATAAGTCTGAAGGTGGTCTCTCTTGATATGCATGAGGAGTGAGAGTGATTTGCTAGAAAACCTTGGCGTCTGCTCTGGCATCTCCCCAGAAAAATCGTAAAAAAAGGGAAGCTAAACTGACCTTCCTCGGGCTGCAAGGACAGAGGCTCGCTTTGCTGCAATAACAGCGACGCCTGTTGGCTTTTACTGTAGTGACTGGCCTGACTCATGCTCCTGAAAAAACACTCAAGTCACTCACATGTTTCAGAACAGTATTTCAAAGTTTATTTCCTCTCCGAATATTGTGATAATAAAAAAGAAATCTGTAAAATTACTTATTATTGCATTCAAATAAATCCATACATTGTTATCAACTTGATACATTGTGGGTCACCGGCCCTCCAACTGCACAGTTTATGGGGCCATTTTTAAATAGTCAGCGTGCTTAAAGTTCAATAATTACAATTCCTATGTACATATCTTTCCTTAATTATTACTTTTATAAAAAATAAAACCTCTGTATGTACAAAACTTGCATATAATACACTTCATGTCCATCAAAATGTCTCAAAGTGATTGAATGGCGATCACATGTGGCTTTTTAAAATTACAATGAAAAGAAACACACAAATATTAGGATATAAACGTATATATGCAACAAAGAACCTCCAAAAGGTTCAGTATTTCTCATTGTCATTGAATCATAAATTAAAACATTGAATATACATTTATTTTAGAGTGAGCTTGTGCAATGTCTGTTAGACCTCCTCGATGGGACAGTGTGTTGGGGTGGGGGTGTAGACGGGGATGGTGATGTCGCTGATGTCGCTGATCTCCTGCACCCTCACAGGTGGGGTGATCAGAACGTAGTCGTATTCCCTGTGCAGCACCTTCTCGTACACGCTCTGCAGACCCACTGTTTTGGGGATCTGGGCCGGGTAGAAGTTGTCCCGGCGGTTGGGGTCCCGGGGCAGGGAGGCTGTTTTGGAGTGGCTGCTGAAGGAGGAGAGGGTGGGGGCTGGAGATGGAGCTGCATGGGCTCTGACTGCTGAGGGGCTCCAGCAGCGATCTGAGTGACCCAGGACCTTACATTCACTGGTGCAAGCCCACAGAGCTTCAGAAGAGAAGAAAGAAATAAGTTAGAACCAAAGCATGAATCAACATGTATTCATTTGAAATCTAATTGTTTGTTATTTTGCTCTTACCATTTTGGCCACCCATGGGAGGAACCACTGCTCCATCTTTCTTCAGTCCAGTGTCTCCACTGACATCACTGTCACTGTCATTGAAGTCACTGTCCCCCTTGCCACTGTCTTTGCCACTGAAGGCAGGGTCCCTGGCAGAGATGGTGGTGTAAGAGTTCCCCTTCCAGATAGTGATGGGCCTCACTGCCTCTTTACCGTTCCCATAGCCAGGCAGAGTAGAGTATCCCTGCAGGAGGAGAGAAATAAGGTTAGCGTCTGGTTGATAAACACATTTTATGTGTGTGTGTGTGTGTGTGTGTGTGTGTGTGTGTGTGTGTGTGTGTGTGTGTGTGTGTGTCCTCCCAACAATGTCCTGAAGCTGCCTCTCACCTCGTGTTTATTCCCTCGAGGCTTGCTGTTGGTGTCTGAGTCATACACACAAGGCACCTCGCTGCCGTCCTCTGAGGCCGAGCACATGTCGATTCCCCCGGGGTGAGCCGAGGTGAAGCCCCCGGGCTGGCTGCTGTAGGAGTGACCCTCAAAGCCAGCTTCTCCCCCGGCCCCGTGCAGAGGCAGGAGCGGGTTGTCTGCCACGTGGTTCCTGCCCCGCTCCAGCGTGCCCTTCTCCCCGTATGAGTCGCTGTCGTCTCCGCTCTTGTCGCGTTTGCGCCGGTTGCAGGTGGTGGCGATGAGGATGATGGCGAGCA